AGAATTTTGGACATTTCTGAAAAGGACTTGTTGCTTAGGAGTGCAGTAGTAGCTAAAATAGGAGAACACTATAAGCAACTTCCTTCATATAACTATTAAAAAATATTGAGTATGTATTGAAGGGCATTTTATACCTATGTATCATTCACTTTTTTGTGGATTATCTTAAATCTCAATCAGTAGCTTTTCATATATTTGTGGGTAAACTACAATGCATTATAAGAGAGAGAGGTCAGACAGAATCAGTCATTTCAAGCACTGTTAATGGAATTAGGCAGAACTAGTGAAGGGTAAGTTAGCCAAAGACAAAACAGATAAATTTGATCCTTTGAACCCCTTCTTTCCATTATTCCCATCCTGTCTATGTTTATAGGGAATAAGTAGTGGGATCACCTCAGGGTTCCTTCCCACATACAGCCTCAGAAGCACAAGAGGAAGGAGAGGAAAAGGGTGTTACTTTTTGAAGAGCTGTGGAGTGGTGGTTTTATCTTAAGATCTCCAACCCTATGAATATTGGCTACAGTCTTTTTCTCCCACTGGATCGCAGGGATGGGATAAGCTTTATCTCCTCCCACATGCCTTGTCGTTATTTTTTATTGTTATTTCATACATTATCTGTTAGAGAGTATATCCTGTGCATAGTAATTGTTGTCAGTTTGGTGTGTTGTTTTTGTTAATTTAATTTGTTTATACAGTCTGTGGTCTTAAGAAAATCAAGACTAAATTAAATCTTTCTCCGTATATATGGAGAAGAATTACTGAAATTTCTACTGCTACTGGAGCTTCTATATACAGCACTGTAATCTTTCACTTGTTCATTATCAGTGGGAAAAATTCTCAGAAGAAGCGATGCTAAGTGCTTGCCTGTAGATGTATTGTAACAATCCTTTGTTTTTCTCTTTAGTCTGTTTATTAAAAGATCCACTGTAATAATTAGGCTTATGATGAAAAAGTATTGCTATCATTACATCATTTAATTAATTTATGGTTTTACCTTTTATCTTCTTAGCTGGCAAAAGATATGTCAGCAGCAGCAGTGAGATGCATCAGAAAAGAAATCAGAGATCTTTACATTAACATTCAGACTGTTCGAGAACCTGATGATCAAGCCTTTGGGACAGGAAGTGGAATAATGTAAGATGAGCTCATGATTCCTATTAATGCATGTAGCTTTGCTGCTTACTTTGCTGGTTGATTAGCTAGATCTTGATTAATTATCTGATAAATAAATTGTAATGTGAGTGATTTCGTTCCTAATACATATTCTGTTTTTTCTGTTCAGCATTGTTGCAGAGACTTCAACAGGTTGTTTGTTAGCTGGGTCATCACTTGGCAGGAGAGGTAAGAGCAAAATATGCCTCTTTCAGAATTAACTTAAGTATAATAGTATATTAAGATTCCCATTTGTAACCTGTTCCAAGATCTGATACTTTGAGTGTTGTTTTATAAGTGGATGCTGTTCTGTAAAAAGGGTCAGTGAAAACAAACAGATTTTAAACTCTATAAATAAAATCATGCACTCTGTACTTCTGTGCTGCTTCTGCCTAGTGACAAAAGTGGAAAATACTTCTGGACTTTATATATATGCTCTGTGATTTACCTGTGAAAGTTTTGTTCAGTGCTGAATCTAGATGTTTATCAAATTAAAGGAACAGATGTGCTTTTCATCTAAATGATTTGACTAAAAAGTCTATCTGACTTTAAGTGTGGCTGGCTACATGCTTCACACTGCTTAGGGGATATGCACTGTATATCATCATGTGACATGAGTTTTTTCAAGTGGATGTTCGAGACAAAAGTAGGGAAATAAGTTCTAAAAAGTTGATAATTTCTGTTGTTGGTGTGTTTATTTTGTTTGTTTGCTTTTTCCTCTGTATTTTTAACATGTTACAAATAAGTGATAGCATCCTAACTTCTTGGATTTCCATTAGGAAAAAATTCTGACAAGGTTGGCATTGAAGCAGCTGAGATACTGCTTAAGAATCTTAAACATGGTGGAGCTGTGGATGATTCTTTACAAGACCAAGTAAGGATCGTATATGTCATCACATTCACTTGAAGTAGCAAGAACATTTAAATATATATTACTTGAAAATAACATAAATCTGAATAGTGAAAGAACGGCACATAGATTTCAGAATTTGGTTGTATTTCCACAGACCTTCTGTGGTGGAATTAGTGAACAGTCAGATGTCTTAGAGGTTTCTGGATGCAGACTTCACTACAACTACAAAATACATATACAATACATATGCTCCTTAGCAACCACAGATGCTCTGGCTTTGCGCCACATCCTTACATTTTCCCTTCCTGCAAATCTTAGTATTTATGGAAGAAGGAGTTAGTAATTTGCTTCAATTTAGCATTCCAAATATCTAGGAAGTATTGCTGTTTATCTTGCTTGCCTAATTTCATTTAAGAATTTCATTCCCTTTTCAGCTGATCATTTTTATGGCATTAGCAAAGGGAGTGTCTAAAGTGAAAAGTGGACCAGTTACACTTCATACTCAAACTGCAATACACTTTGCAGAACAGCTAACAAAGGTGAGTCCAAAACTTCAGGAAGTTTCACCTGTCAGTTGTCATCCAGTAACTAAAAAGGGTGCAGTTGTATATATTCACTCTATATTTAACAGATACTGTGAACTGCGTTTCATCATGGAGGACTAACACGGATAAAATAACAGCTTCAATGTTCATATAAGAGCTTGGCAGTAGAAATTGAATATATTTAGTTAAATGCCTTTAGAATGTTTAGATACTTCTACTCCTGTAATATATTTTTTTCAATGAAATAAGTCCAATCTGTAATATGCATAAACAAACAGTGATCATTGGGCATCAGATGTTGAAAATTTAAACTTATGTATAACTGAATTTGTGATTTGTGTTTCTAATGCTATTTTAGGCCAAATTTACTGTGACAAAATCAGAAGAGGAAGATCCCAGTAAAGATACCTACATCATTGAATGCCAAGGAATGGGGCTGATAAACTCAAACTTATAGAGTCTAAAAAGAAACAAGAGGAAAGAAGGAAGATGCAAAAGCAAAATAAACTCAACATACCTCAGCAATGCATTGCACTATAGTTCAGTGGACATATAACATGTGAACAGTAGGATCCTTCTATCACATCCAACCAATTTGATTTAACTTCAAGGATGATAGCAAGTTTTCCCTTGCTGTGCTGAGCAAATCTGCGGTGTGAGAAATGGAAACTTCTTTTTTACTATTATCAATAAAATGAGTACAGACAGGACAGCAAACAGAATATAGTGTATGTATTTGGGCAGTTGAGTGAATCACTTAGAAACTTCAAGAATTCAGGTTCACCAAAATAGAGAATAACTATTTCAGTTTTGAGAAAATACACAGATGATGTATCCTTTCCCCTTTAAAATGTGTACGCTTTATTCTTTTGGATCTTTTATGTTAGGTATGTGGAATAAGGGGCACTATCAAATCTGTAGCTCTGTTCTCAACTATTTTGCTTAAGTTGTGTATGACAAAATAATAAAGGAGTAGCAGCACATGAAAGCCTGGTATTTATTTTTGCTGTTACCTCAGCAGGTTGTGTTCCTAGGAGACCGATAGACACTAATTGTACAGAAATGTAATTTCTTTTCCTTTGTAGTGTAAGAATACTCCATGCATAAATTTTCTTTTATATATTCTCTTCTTATCAGTTTTATAAAAGAACTTCTCAGGCAAGTTTAGAAAATGTACCACGTTACATCTCAAACACAAAATAATAACTATGATATGGTCTGTTCTTCTATGTACAACTGTTGCTTTTAGCTTACTAGTGGTAATAGATTTACATTTACATCAAGCTATTGTTTCTTCTTAATGAAAGTACTTAATTCCAGATGAGATTAGAGAACTGTTGTATATATTTATGTGTATATGTACACATATTCATGTTTCTACACACCAGTGAACATACAAGTGTATTTAGGCGTAAACACGCAGTTGTGTTATCCTCTGCTTGGGAATTAAGCAAGGAAGAACTTTTGCCAATCTGGCTTTGATTCTTGCTAAGAAAGTTTATTCTGAATTAAAAGGAAGATAGAGAGATGGGTCATCATTTGTTTTGCATGTGAAGTACTGAATCACCAAGTTAGAATGACTTAACCAGAAATACATAAATACATTCTAGAAGCTTGAATTGATTTCCAGGCTTCCCCCATCTTTCAGTCTTTTCTCTAAGATCTTTTTCTCTGTTGTGACTATTGAACCCAGCTGCTTAAGATTTGTCTTGCTTATTAGAATGAATGTGGAAAACCCCCCCAAAAAATTCAAAAAACCTCACCACCACTGGTATGAGAAAATGTTCACCAACAATCTAGTTAAATATCTATTTACTTTTACATTTCTTCCCCTCTACCCACCACACTCAAGTCCAGAAAATGATCGTTATTAATTTCTGATTTAAAAAATATTATGTGGAAATTGTTTTTACTAAGAATAGTCTGAAGGGGGCAGCAGATACCCACTGAATTATGTCTGACATTCTCAACCCTAGTTCATAGAAGAGCACTTCTCTGAATCACTTCTCTGTGCTGCTGATTTTCAGTGTTTTCTTTAGGAAGAATGTAGAACATATCTTAAACAAACACAAGCAAACAACACAAACAAACAAACAAAAAAAAAAAACAACAACCAAAACCTTGGAGGAAAGCTCCCAGAGTTGTTTTCTGTGCTTGTTTGTTTGTTCTGTTTACCTGTTTTCCTAATTCAAAAGAATTACTGCACTTGATGACTGATTTTCCTTCTCCTGGAGAGATTCCAGCTGAAGGGATAGCTGGGTGTCATTTAATTCAGCATCCTAATCAAAGCTAACTTTGAAGCTAAACTGGGTTGTTCCGGGCCTTGTCCAATCAAGTTCTGAATATTTACCAAGCTGAAGGTGCAACAGCCTTTATGGGCAACTTGTTAACACTGTTTAACTGCACTCGGTTGGCATTTAATGTGACAAGAGGAGTATTTTTGTTTGTTTCTTTCTTAAGCTGAGGGACTGTTTCTTAAAAGGAAGTTACTTTCTGCTACAGAAAACATTAGAAAAGTGTGCACAGCAATATATCAGTACTTCAGTAGTTCTTTCAGAAGAAAACAATATAATCAATTCTACCTTACTCAGAAAATTCCCCTTTTACAAGAAAAATTCAGATCCTCAGGTCAGTCTGGCAGCTGAGAACAGGAAAGCTTCTGTAAGTCCTAGAACCCTGAGGAAATTAAACAAAAAATTAATTATAGACAGTTATATATCGCTGCTTAATACAGAAAGGCATATTAAATGCAGTTTGTAACTATTTTTTTTAAAACTTCCTGCACTTTATGAATATTAGCTAATGATTAAAGAGCATTACTTGAAGCCTTTTAGTTTTCCTTTCTATCAATCTATAATCATATTGTTTTTAGTGATAAGGTCAATTAAATCACTTGCAAGAATGTATTAGCCTTTTGTTCAGGAAGAGATGAGACACAGCTTCACTTGCTCTACACATATGCATGGGTTTTCTTATGCTAATAGGCCATATTAGAATCTTATATAAAAACTTCAGTGTGGGTGTTTATGATACAGCTGAGATGCTTACATTTAATAACGCTTAAACAAGTAGTGGCAATGACTCAGAAGTTCTATATACCGAGGAAACAGGATTAATCCTTTCAGATTGTGTATTTACATGAAAGAGGCTAGTGTATAGGTGAGTGCAAGAATCGGAGAAAGCCACTATGCTGAGACATGCAGAGACCAAAGCCAGAAGACTAAGGGCATTATATGCAGCCAGTTACAAAAAGCAAAAAATAACAACAAACAAACCGAAAAGTACTGCACTCTGTTCTGACTGAACTCTATTACTGTCAAGAAGTCTATCTTTGAACCTTGTGTTCTCATATCCTTAAATGTATTTCAGCTGGTAACTACTTCTGAGCTTATGATTTCAGTCTCTTCACTAAGATGTTAGTAAAGTACTTACTGTTTTCTAGGCCATGTTGAAAATGCTGCATCCAGTTTTGGACCCCTTCATATAAGACATCAGGGTCAAGGTGGTGCTACATCTTTTTGAATTAAAAACAAGTCAGTGTAAACACAGAAAATCATTATGTTCATTATTAGAGAGAATAGGAAGTAAAATTAGTACCTAAAATCAAGTAAGATAGGTAAATCAAAAAGCATTGCTACTACTTTCCCTAATATTTGACAGCAGAAAAGTTTGTAAGAGATGAGCTAAAACAATTAGGAGCACAGCCTTCTGTAAAATTAAACAGAACCAGAATTTTTCCTTTAATCCTGGATTTATTGGTACATTCAGGAACAAAGTTCCTGAGTTTAGGAAACCTACTAGTAAGTCCACTTAAAAGCTATAAATCCTTAATGAGTAAAAATATGGAGAAGCTCACACTATAAGCTGCATGATTTCCAGTTTTTGTACCACCCAGATGCCTCTTGGTAGTTTTATAGCCTCTCCTCTGCACAAGAGTCTTTCTGCTCAGTGCTTTCCAAATCCAGTATGCTAATCCTATGATGATAAGTTATCTACTAGAACAGGAAACTTTGAATTGAAAATTCTGCTTTCAGATAATAACTGAATAGATTCTCAGTTTATTGCTATTAAATTCACAGAATATCCAAATAAGTCAAAGAAGTAACTTTGAAGCAGCGCTGGAAAGCACTGGCCCCCTACTGAGCAGTGAATATCAACATGTGCTGACAGACCTTAGGCAGTGGGCAAGACATCAGAAACAAGGATAAGCACACGGCCCCATTATGTTTAAGTATTTGGTATTGCTGTATAAATACCTCTTACCAGAACAAGATTGCTAGCATTCTCTTCTGTGTGGGAGAGTTTGCTTCCATAATCAAATAATCAGATGTAAAACAGTAAAGGAAGAAGCAGAGTTAAGCCGAACAGTATGAGCTCAAAGGAAGAATTAAAAAATAATTACATTCTGCAAAACCCAGCAAATCCCAGGCCTTCCACCCATTCAAACCTTTCATCTTTTTATTCTCCCCTGCATTACAGCTCTGAACTTAGAACTACAGCTACTCAACTTTACCAGTGATTTTGCTACACAACAATTGTCTTCTGAACTTAAACAATATTATCATTTTTTTCTCTTTCTGTAAAAAATAATGTTAAAAAAATGTAAAAATCTCTGAAAATAATTCTCTAATTTTTATTTATTTATTTATTTGTAATTGCTTAAATTTTTTTAAAAAAGATCAAATGCAAAAAAGAAAATATCAGTCTCAGATGCTGGTTTTGCTGGAAGGCTAAGGAAAGACCTATGTGGCTAATTGATGACACCATTCAGTGTGCTGATTTCCTTCCCTGCATTAATGACAGTTGGAACAAAGTTTTCAAACTTGGCGTACCACTGAAGCAAAATTTTTAAGAGTTTGTACCTTTCAGTAGGACAGCTGAAGTAATGCATTCGTAGACATACATATATGTACACACTTGTACTGCCTCATTTTTAGAAGTGGCTGCTGGTGCTCCCATTGAGATCTGCAACTATTGCAGTGCGGCCCAGTCCCCTACAGCTGAGGTACCATACAAAGTATGAAAATGCTGACATTACGATTTTACTTCTGGCTACATCAACAGATTAAAGTTTTGCTTTTTTTTTTTTGATCAGCTGCAAAACCTACACAGCTGAAAACAGATGTGGTAAGCGGTAATGAAATATAATATTATCAGTTGGTTAGCATAGTTCCAAAAGTCATATACTAAATAAGAACACTTTATAACATCAGAAATATATTTAATCCTTAGTTCTTTCAAAAAGCAATAATGGTAACCAAAAGAATGGTAAGAACTGTCATAGAGAAAAGGTCAGTGCAATTTTGAACTAGTTTGCTTTTAACATATTTTGGCTAGTCAGCACAAATAATTTTGAAACTGTGCTTGTGGGCACATTTGTTTGCTTCCATCCCAGAAGATGGTGACCTCCAGGATCAAAAGATTTATTGTTCTCTGACTGCAAGCCAGATTTCTGTATCCTGTTTATTATGTAATAACATGCTCTAAAATAAGTATAACTCAAATGCTTTGCCCCTCAATCAGGAGAGAAGCTCAAACTCAGATTTAGGCAGAATTTAGATGTGTGTTTTCAGTGATAATTTAATGATGTTCAAACAGGACCAATGAAACTTTCTTTTGTATAGATGCCCATGCTGTTCCCGTAATTATGCAGAAGGAGAAGAAAGCTTCTCTTCCACAGCCTGATAAATAGGTAGTGGTTACTGACTGGAAATCTATTTAAATCCTTTCTGGCAGAGGAAGAAATTAAGCATGAAGTTCCTATTTCCCAGACAGTGCTTTAACTTGCACATTGAGAAATTAATAAAACCTACCACTTCTTGTCCTGATCTTAAGAGTTTCCTTCTATCCTTCTGATGGAAAGGCTGATGGTCTGACAGATTACAAAATCACAAATGGATGGACAGTTGTCCCTGCAGGACTGCAGGAAGAACTGAGTTTTGAACATACCCAGTTATTGTTCCCTACTTAGGGCTCAGTAGTAATTAGCAAGACTTCATCTGGTTTCCTGGTTCACAATAAAGTCTCAAGATCAAGCCCAGTCCTCTCACTCCTCACGAGTTTGGGTCTCAAAGCCAGCCACTGCAATCCAATTGCTCCTCTAAAGCTGCTTCTGCCACTACGTCACTGCAAGAAGTGCAATTTCCAGTTTCACTGACAAACTGTTTCCAGCTCTGGATACATCAGCAGTATGGATAAGATAAACAAGTCCAAAATTCAGCAGAAAAGAATAAGGATAACTGAAAAAAGAAATGCAGTTTCCCCTTGTGATCTTGTAACATACTACAAAGATTCTGAAAATGTAGTAGATGTGAATTATGGTCTCATTCAGGCACACTCCTTTCTTTATTTCTCATTCTCACTCCATAGTCACAATGCACTTTCTTTGCATCACTAGCTATAGAATGTGAACCTGAGAAGAAGTGAAAAACTGGTTGCCCATTTGCTGGAGATTAAAGCATCTCCAGTTTGCAGACTCACTTGCAGAAGAACAGTGAAATTAAGACAAGTAGGATCAACTTAAAAAAAAAAAAGTCACATTTTGTACTTTCAGTTCTTTTTTTCCTATTTTATCTGCTATACATTGCTTTCACTTAATTTATTTCCTGCTTTGTGAGCTTTTTCTCATGGTCTCCCCAAATTTACCTTTATTTCACAACTTCTTCCTCCTTTCACATTCACAACAGCTTACTGAAGCGTTACAATGTCACAGTATTGTTAAACTGCAGAATTAGAAGTGCAGACTGGCTCCAGCTGGCCTTAGTCCTTGCAAAACTATTTTACTTCCTGCAAACTACAACAATTGCTGCTAAAAGCATCCAAGGACATCTCTGCAAGCCTCTTCTATAGTGTAACTGACAGAGGCTCATTTCTACAGAGAGAGAATCCCAGAAATGAAGCACTAGCCTATGCTTGCAAAAAGAGCTACGGTAAATGATATATTATGAAATAGAAAAAATATTGCAATATGGGATTTCACCTTATTTCTCCATTTACAGAGGAGAAAAACATTTTCCTACAGATATATCTATATACTAAATCAAGTGATTTGTTGTTTAAACCACATAAAACTGAAGGAAATCATGCTTGCATATGTCACGCTGCAGCTGTGCTTGAGTGTCTGGAGCCAGTAGCACCCACAAAATCTAGAGCGATAGGATTTTCATTTGAGCCAGGCAGTCTTCATGCCTGAGTCACTTCTCCTGGAACGTCTTTGGCTCAACCAATTTAGACAAAATGAGATTCAGTGTGTAGGTGCATGATGTATGAGTTCTGGCTCAAGCAAGATAAAAAAGTCTAGAACACACAGTCAAACACCATTCTAGCAAAACTATCCCCACTGTATACGTGGAAACTTATGGAGGCTTGGAACTACCTCACAGTCTGTAGCATAACAACTATTGGACCATAGACAGTAGACATCTTTCAAAGTAGAATGTTCTTCATTCAGTTTTCCTTGTACAGGTGACAGAGTATTGCTCAGAATATGCCAAAAAACTGCTGAAGCTAGGAATCTCTGATGGAAATTTCACAAAATTACTTGCATTACATTACAGAGGTTTTCCAGCTTCATCTGAGGAGATAACACAACTGGCTTTTCTCTCATAAATTAAGACTGACCTTCAACTGAACCATGACATGCAAAATTTGCACACACACACAGACACAAAACAGGCTAAAGAAAACTTGATCAAACTTTCTTAATTTTCAGAAAATTCTCTTTCCCAGCATAAAAAGTCCTAAGTATATTTTATCTGTCTGCATTCAAACTGCTACTGTATGAGGAAGAGCACTATTCTGTCCCATCATCTTTCTCCCAATAGTTAAAAAATGATTTACAGAAATGAAGGCTTTTTATATGTCTGAAAGACAAAGCAATGTTACAAGATAGGATACAGAAGAAAATTCAGTTCAATTTCTAAGAGGTGCATTAGAAAATACGAGTCAAAAATTACGTTTCAGGATCCCTTAAAAACTATTCTGGGACAGCTTTGCAACTGTAAGAAAATAGAGACATTATTTCCCCATTTAATCTTGGAAACAAATAATAATAGTATTGATGGTGGTGACACACACCCAAATTTAAGTCAGGGAATTAAATAGCTGCAAGTATGGCTGACATTTCAAACTATTATCACATTTCTCTAAGAGGATATATCTGACATTAAAAATTTAGATATTATACAGATGTGTGTTTAAAACAGCTGAATTTAGATATCACAGGAAAAATATTTTCTAAGCAATTTCTTTATGAGAAGATGTTGGAAGACAAGCAGCAGCAATTTGTAGATTTATGTTCTTGTGTCACAGGTTTTGACCCAATTTGTTTTAATTTTCTGTTTTGTTGTTGAACAGTGAGTGAATACAGGATGACAGAAATAGCATGTGTTCTTAACCATCTTGCTGTTTCAAAACAATGCTGGGAAGCTGCTGACACATCAGTATGTTTCACTTACACAGCAAAACTGCTGAAAGTAACTCAGGGAACACCTTTATCTACAGTTTTAGATCTACTCACCAAAATCCTTGGAAGAAGCACCAGGATCCAGACAGCAGGCTTTCTCCAGAGGTAACGAACACTAAACCATCCTGACAAAGCTCACAGCCTTGGGTGAGTCCTGTGTACCCAGCATCCAGTCATTCCATCCAACTTGTCTCTCAGTTAATGCCATTGCTGACGAAAAACACATTCAAGAAGTGATATATCAGTAACATGAAGAAGTACACACTGGAGTTTAGGGCTGCACCTGGAATGCTACTGCTATGATTTCAAAACAGGTAATCCAGAACAGTGAGAACTTTCAAACAGGAGAGGAGTAGAAAAGGTGTTTCCTATATGTAATGCTAGTGCTAATGTAAAAGCACTAATGCATCAGTATCAGAAAACTTTTCCCTTCTGCTCAATTCTTATAAAAACAAAGCATTCTGACCTTCTCACACCCTAAAAGTCGATACAAATGTCCATGGTGATAAATAAATATTTTAACTGGCTTCTGATAACACAGGTGATTTATGGATAGCTAATCCTAAATGCCATTTACAGTATCCTAAAAGGGATGCGGATGCCAAGAACTACAGAGAAATGGTAGGAGAGAGACAGCCATCATCACATCTTAATTTATTTATACAGTGCAGGTCTTTACATTTAAGAGAATGTTAAGACAACCTTCAATGCTTCTCATTTGAACACAATTTTCAGTCCAGGATACTCTAAAGGAAGTCCTAAATGTGGATATCAAATACATGCAAGACGTTCAAGGAAGTGGAAAATATTTTACAGTCAACTTGGAAAATCCAGGTCAGGCTTCATAAATATCGAAGACTTGCAGAAAGAAGCTAACTGCCTTTGATTTTCTACAAAAAAATTTTCTGGGTGACATGCTGAACACTGACTGTTTAGATGAGTTTATAAAATCTGCCATTAGATTAGCATGCATTTTACTAAATAAGCAATTAACAAGCACTGTTTTAAGCTCAGTAAAGATCTCTGCTGAGTGTGCACCTGTGGTTAAAAAAACAGGTCACAAAACCAAGCGTAGCTGAATTCAGAGACTGTGAAGTGCTGCATGTTTGGGAGAGATGTCTCTGCCACTGTGCTGACCATCACTACCCCTAACTTGGCTGCGCTTGCCCAGATAGTAACAAGACCACGTGTCAAGTTGGATGCAGGATCTGACCCAGTTAAAAGTGAGCCCAACAGAAAAGAAAAATAAAAGGTTTGGGAGCATGAGATATTAATACTCAGTAATAGCCAACTTTCTGTTTCACCTACCATAGGTGAACAGGGATGAGAAGTATGAAATATCCTCTTTTGCTATAAGCTGGACTTCGTTGACGTTAGACAGCCATATCCCATAACATGAGGTTATACAAAGAATGAGATGCAGAATAATACAAACAAAATTATTATTTCATTAAGGTAAAAAAATGATGGGGCTTCACTTAGAATACTAAATACCAGATTGATGATCAACTATGAAAGGTGAAGTTACACTAACAGTTTTCAAGAGGGTTACAGAAATTACTGACAAATGAAAAGCATTTCTCAACATAAATGCTTAAAAGAGATATTTTAGTGGTGGGTTTTTGGTTGTTTTTTTTTTTCATTGAGAAAAAGAATTGCATACATTAATGAACAGTAGAAAAATGGCAGATTACAAACTACTGTCTCCCTGTATTGCATCTCAGAAACAAGTGGATAGAAGTATCTTAAACAGACAAAAGGAAATACTTCTTACAAAGTATGTAATTAAACTCTGTTATGCACAGGAAGCAATTGAGGACAGTACTTTAGCAGGAGTCATAAAGAGACTGGACATTTAGACAAATGTCCAATGCTAGTGATTTAGAAGAGAGTCTTATGCCTGCAGACTTAAGCAATTTATATTGGAGAGATAAAGATGCTTAATACCTTCAAAGCACATGGCTTTTAAGCCCGTGGCTGCCTGCAGGGGTGCTTCTCACATCCTTCTAAGAAACTTTGGTTGCTGCTTATTAACAAAGAACTGTTTTAATGTTTTTTTTTTAATCCTGTATGGCAATTACATTGTTCACTATGAAGTAAGCAAAGTTAACTTATGAAGGCTCTGTAACAGAGTTTCAGAAAAAATTAAGATGAGGTGACCACAGGAACCTCATCAAGTCCACAGCCCTGCTCAAAGCAAAGCTAAATTTAAAGTTACGTTAAGTCACCCTTGGTCTTATCCAGTTTGACTGCAGAAATCCTCAACGACAGAAGTCCTACTGCTGCTGAGTAACGCATTCTGGGTGCTGACCCATCCTTACCATGAACAATTTGTTGCTCACATAAAACTGGAAACTTCATTGTTGTATCGTTTGAATATAATCCCTTGTCTTTTTATTGTACACCACAGACAACACACTGTTCTCTCTAGGCCCTGGTAAGTGGAAGAATATAAAAAGACTGCAATAAGACCAGAAAACACACTTTGCCCTTCCAAGATGTGTTTTTTATCTGTCTGACGAGAGTGTTTAAACATACCAGTAGATTACAAACTCCAAGTTGCAAAATAGATTAAATGACATGCAAAAGTAGGCCTACTATAGCTACAAAGTTTCCCATACTTTGGCTTTTAAACCTTTAGTCAGTATATTCTCCAAAAAATCAATGATTTTAATTCAATCTAATTGTGACCTCTTTAAAGTTAGTAAATCCTACAGCATATCTTCTAGAAAATTATCAAGAATTGCATCAACAACTTATATTATATGAAATTTAAGATGCTTTAGTGTACGACTCTTGTATGGAATATATCTCAGGATGATCTAGAAGATACACAGCACTACACTGAATTTCTCTAGAAGACTGCAGATTTCTGTCTCTTTCCAGGAGAAAATTGGAACTTAAGGATGGATCTTTTTAAAAGACACTCAAATCACACACTTTCCAGATTTCTGTGCTTGACAGTTTAACTGCAAGAAAGATACAACTAAAAAGAGTTATTCGTCATTTAACTACAGGCAGGGATGTTAATTTTGTGATTCAGAATTGACACCTTATCTTTTCAAGTGTCACAGACTTGAGCTCTGATCACACGCTCTCAACGGCACCAACAAAAGGAGCTCGTTTCATCTTTGCTGCATGCTGTTGGTTTATTGTACTCATGTACTCATTTTGATAAATCATACAAAATGCTACCTTATTTTTGAAAGTAATTATCCAATATGCTTACATTTGCTTTAAAAAAAACAATTTCAATGTTAAACATCTAAGTGAGAATTCTTCAAATGTGAAAGTAATTCTGATTACTCATTTGTACTACATTAACTACAGTCATTGGCAATGCAGACTACATGGAGAATTACTCCTTTATAGATATTGCACATTCAGCCCTCCACTTATACTTTGCAGGATCACTGTCAAATTCCTCCCTCCCGCTGTTGACAGCTTGCAGCAATGCTGTGCAGGGTTCCTCATGTTACATTCTCTTAAGTCCATGACGTTATCTAGAAATCTAGATAGTTTAGTGTTGAGTTGGATGTTAGGGGTAAGTTCTTCACAAGGAGAGTAGTTAGGCCCTGGAACAGGCTGCCCAGGGAGGTTGTGGATGCCCCGTCCTTGGACGTGTTCAAGGCCAGGTTGGACGGGGTCCTGGGCAACCTGATCTGAATGTGTGTTTGGTGGCCCTGCTAGGCAGGGGGGTTGGAACTACATGATCCTTGAGGTCCCTTCCAACCCAGGTGATTCTGTGATTCTGTGATTCTGTGACTGCACAAACTTTCTCTAGCTTTCCTCCATTTTGAAAAGATGACAAACCGAAATATAAAACAGAAACTCCAAACTCTCAGACATAATCAGTACAGGACATTGAACCCTGCAAAGTGGTGTTTTACTGCCTTACAAGCAAGGATGCCGTGGATGCTGCAAATTTTCATAATATCAAGAGGCAAAACAAACAAACTGAAAACAAATCCACTGCGAATTACTGAATGCAGAGAAGCAAACTCAGAAAGGCTGAGTTTCAAAAGAGCTGGAAGTGTGGAGTGCATTTGGAGATGTTACTATACACTTCATGTTTCCACAGCAATTTTAGGCATTCACTTCCACCAACTTCTGGTTAAAATATCTTGCTTTGACCTAGTGTGGTTGCTCTTAGACTCCATGTCATAGTTTATGTAGTTTCCCTTTGACTGTCTCTTTCTGGAATTGCTCTGTCACTTCCTTTCCTGGGTCTGATTCCAAATGTGCATGTTCATAGAAAATGGCAGAAACCTTGGGGATGAGCCTGCATCAGTCTCAGCTAGTACTTACCTTCACTTCACTATTCAATCATGCCCAAGACTGAGCAGATGGATAATCCATTAGATCACAATCCAATTCACTTGTCTGTGGAACAAGAGGGCTTTGCTAACAACAACAAAAAACAAAATACCACCACCACCACCACCCTTTAGACATGGAACTAAATTCTCTTATATCCTATACGTTTCTTTAGCTTGTTCTACAGCTATACTACTTTTTTGGCTGGTAGACAAAGTATGAAGAGCACTGTTTTCCCATATTCTTGCTTCTTAAATTTAGACAACCTGGAAAGAGTGGTTTATGCCAACATCGTCACAATTTCTCAAAAGAAACAACGTTCTTTAATCAACACAAACAAAGTCTTGCTATCTGCTCCATTCCTGTTCATTTATCAGCATGAAGGCCATTTTGATTATAAACTAGAACAAAAGACAGAACAACAATGTGGTGCCAGTATTGCATGCTGTATATGAGAAGGATTTTTTCTTCCCTTTTCATTGAGTTTATCTACAAAAAGTAAATTATCTCCCTAAAATGTTTATGTCTGTATGCTTTTCAGATAGGAGTACTTATATGAATCATTCAACTGGAAAGAATTATGCCATTTTACCTCACTTTAGTGTTACAATACTTGGACAAACAGAGGGAAAATTACATTTCTAAATTTTACTTTTTTTTTTTCTTTATGTATTGTCAGTTTAAAAAATGTAAGCAGCCTTATTTCCATGTTATTTTTATTTCTGATATTGAAGCAAGAAAACTATTATTTGTGGAGGGTAAGCCCATACACTAGAGGTCAAGATATGATGCCATTATACCTCAAGCCTGAAGTTTTCTTTTCAGCTGCACATTAGAAATAGTGCTAATGTATGCAGTGCTATGGTTTGGTTTTTTTTTTTTCCTTCTCCCATGTGCACCAGAAGGCATGAGGATGTAAAAAGCTAGTTCAATTTACTAAGTTTCACTAGCTACAGCAAAGAGCTTTGTGGCTTAACTGGTAGCCATGTCACAGGGTTACAACACAGTTAAAATAATAAACTAAAAAAGTTACAACTAATATACTAATTAAGTCTCCACCACTGTAAGCCCTTAACAAATATGGAAGAACAATAAAAAAATATTACAATCTAAAAAAATGGAGGAGTGTTCAAGATCATACACTGCTGTTTTGCTAATGTGTTAATTGGTATGTTGAAGTAGTAGAGCGGATTTAGAAAAGACCGTGAGGATTATTTATTCACCATAGAAGTAACTTTATAAAGAAAGGTAGGCTTACAGCAACTCAATTTTTTTAGTTTATCAAAGAGATAAGAGAGTTTGATTACAGGATACAATTGTCTTGTGGGGAGAAAGGCACAAAGGGAAAACAAATTGAACTAAAACCTCTGTCATGGGAGAAATTAAACATTCCCTTCAGTGTATCTACAAAATCATTTGAAAGCATTTCCCAGAAGAATTTAAAAAGTTACCTTTTTCTATTTGAACTTTACATTTTAAAAGCAGCATGTCTCAAACTGGATATAGGGAATCAGATTTTGTAATCACTTTTAAATATCTAGACTCATTTTACCTGTAACATTTAGCACTGTCCCACAGTATTGCCGGGATAAACACATGGACAACTGGTGTGCTTGAGCACAGGCCAACAGGGTAAAAGGCAACTCTACAAGCTATAAAGTAACTGCACAGGGAATACCTGAGTGAACCTCACAGTCCTCTGCTCTACAGATTATTCTGTCAGTCATAAAAGCAAGCCCCATAGCAGGGGCTCTTACCTAGACTTCCAGGCAGCCGAGACCCTTCCTGAAAGCACTTGCTAGGCTGGAGCTGTTGTTTATGTCTTTTTGCCAGGGCAGAGGCTTTGCACATGATGAGAGATAGCACAGGGAGAAATAATAACCCTTCTGTGATTTTCAATAAAAAGTTAAGTTACTTGACAATGAACTTTCAACCCCCATAAAACAAGCTGCTGCCCAAATGAAGAAACACACTGGGAAATACCAAAAATCAGGCTGTAGAGGAGGAGATTCCCTGGTAAGGTTCCTAATAATTTCAAGGAGAGGAAGTTAGCTGCCCACACAAGAGAAGCCTCTCTTAAAATGAGCACTGCAAGCTCTGCTTACTCACTTCATGTTTATGGAAACTGGCCTACTGAAATCAAAGTTCAACCCCTATTGACATAATTGGCTATTAAGTATAGAGACTCTGAGGGGGCAGACAAGTCATTTAGACATAAAGATGTGCATCTAAATCACAAATACGCTGGGAAGCTGAGGGGAATTTCCAGGAAAAATACAGAAGTGCAGAAGTGCTGTTGCAAGATGATTCGTATTTCTCTCCCACTCATCTCTTCTCTTTTTATTCCTTCTCAGAGACTACAGAAGAGAGGAAAACAGCACAAGAGCTAATAAATCCCTCACCCAAGCAGACCTCACTCAAGCCCTCTCACAGAAAGTCATAAGGCTGAAATACTTTCCCGGGTCTGACCAATCATTCCACTATGGCTGTATGTTTCCAGCACTGAGTGACTATGAGTGACTGCTTAAGGTCAGCATGAAAAACCGGCCTGAGGAATGTTTGCCTATTCCCTTTAGTATTTGTTTTAGCTTTGTTTGAGCTTTAGTTCTCAATTTTTTCACCATTTCCCTTCTGCACCAATTGATATTGCCTTCCATCACAATCTCCAGCAATAGCAGCTTCCAATTATTTAGCATTAAGAAGCACCTTCAATTATTTCTGTTAAACCAGTCTCCCACTTGTCCAGAGGTCCTGCAGTCCTGACATCATATGAGTTAGCAAACAAATTTTGCATTTGTTGTTTGCTATTAACTGCTTTCACAATTTAGAAAACTTCAGTCATATCCTCTCCTTCTTCAGAATTCTCTCCAAACTGAAACATCCTATGCAATTTTTTCTTTCTTTCTTTTTTTTTTTTTTTTCCAGGTCTTTCAGCAACAAGAATTATATCCAGGAGACAAAATGTGTATGCACATTTCATACAGGGAAAAAAATCATACTTTCTGGTTTGCTCACAAGTCAGCAGAGAGATATGCCTGACATTAGAATAAACCTGCTTGGGATTACCTCCAAGAAATTTATGTCATGAGCCCATCAAAGCTCTCCTCCTTCTCTGTCTTCAATCTTTTCTTCACCCTCCTACTTCAAGCTCATGTTCCTTCAAGCCAAGTCCATACTTCTCTTTTTCTACTACACTCTCACTTTCCAAAGCTCCCATTCCAACTGAAGAGAAGCACAGGACCCTGCACGAAATGATTTACTGTTCACAAAGCACTTCTGAAGATGCTATGAAGAAGACACAGAGATTTGCACCCCACCTCATCCTGCAGCTAGCTATCAAAAGACATCTGTTTGTTTTGCTGTTGGGGGCAGGTGCTACCATTTGTAGATAGTAAATAACACAGAGAAATTCCTTTCATATATGTGTTTCTGATCTTGTATTTTCACGTAAGTTTGGAGCAGCCAGCACCCCATTGTTGTGCCTAACACAGTGGCTCCGGGCAGCTGGGGGTAAAAGTACTCCAACACCTCAATGCCTGATCACTTAATACTGCTTTGTACCTTGAAGAGTTTTATCTTCAGTGAACATCGCTAACCACATGAGTCAGAGCAGTACTGCTGGCAAGCAGAGAATAACATTAAATTCCGCTTCTCATTCCCTCTCATCTTTGCCTCCTCCCTGATTCCTCGATATGAAAGCACGAAAGTATGAAAGCAGGTATTCTGGCAACATATTAAGCAAGAATCACTATGGGGATTTAAAAGAAACACACTGGCAGTATTTTGTAGTGGAAATCTCTAAAGCATACTTATTGGCAGCTTATATTCAAAATAAAGGGTCTAATTTGTTCATTATGAAGCAGCAGAATTTTGTCACTGATTTATGAATGACTAATTCTTATAAAAATGCTTCAGCTGTCCTAAAACTATCTATTTTATAATTCCAGCCCCTTCCTCTGTAATATTTATAATAATGTTTCACTAACTAAAATACAATGCTTCACAAATGAGTCTTGAGATCTTAAGTTAATTTAAAATAATCAGATGTGTATAACCCAGTGATTGTATAATTTCTTTGAAGGTACACAGTTTACAGCAAAATAAGTGAAAAGAGAACATTTTCCAAACATTGCCACAAGCAAAAAGACTATATTAAAAACATTCAATCTTTAGAATAATACAAAATAAAATATTATTAATCAGTAAG